TAATACTTAGAATGGGGCTTTGGGGGGTGTTCCTTAGTATAGTTGTAGTATAATCTACCCCCAAAAGCCTATTCTAATCATTAAGGCCCCTACATTGGGACGATTTCATGAGCAATTTTGGGCTTAGGGTTTAGGGATTTCACGAAGATGGCGTTGAAAGGTTGGCTTTCAAGGGTTTTGGAGGGTGCGGTTTAGGGTTCAGGGTGTGGTGCTTGGGTTTTTGGAAGGTTTTGGATTTAGGTTCGGTTTAGGGTTTGGGGTTTGCGGTTTGAAGTTCAGGGTTTTTGGGGTTGTAGAGGGTTTTGGATTTAGGTGCCGGTTAGTGTTCAGGCGTTGAAGTTTAGGGTTCAGGGTTTGGGGCTTTAGAGGGTTCTGGATTCAGGTGGGTCCCTACCCGATCGAAATCATTCGAATTTGATGTGGGTGTCGGAGAAATACACTAATTAGTCATAGTATTATAAGTATTCCCTTGTAGCCCGCAGTACAGTCATAGTCTAGTATAGTATGCCCCCAAAACCTTGTTCCGATGATTCAGGCTCTTGTATAGCGTAAACCCTAAAGGCTAAACCCTAAACCCTAAACCCTAAACCCTAAACGCTAAACGCTAAACCCTAAACCCTAAACCCCAAACCCGTCCGGCTCATGGGTTTCAGGGCTTCTCGTGGCTTGGAGGCCCTGCGGATCAGGTTAAGACAGCGAAAAATCTCCAAGCCTAAATACCCAAAACTAAACAGTAAACTTTCCTTGAACCCTGCACTCGATTCCGAGGAAGATGACACAGGCATCGAATTGCCGCAGGAGTGGCAATCGAAATTGTCCGTCATCCGAAAGCTGGGTGAGGGCTCCTTTGGGAAGGTGCGCGCTTGTCGATTGTTATCGTGGTTCTTATGTTTATATATATATATATATATATACGTGTTTTTTGGTCTGTGTCTAGTTTTTTAAGATACCCTCAACCCTAAACCCCAAACCCTAAACCCGTCTCTGTGTGAGTGCTCGTTTGTGTTCTGGAGAAGCCCCGGGGCTTCGGACTTAGGGTTTTTGGGTTTAGGGTTTAGGGTTTAGGGTTTAGGGTTCGGATATGCCCAGGAGTCCAGTTCCCCTTAGCTGCCTAGCACCCCTGGCTGCGTTGCTATCCTGTGGGCGGTATAATTACTATTCTTATCATATCATCCCACATTATTGCTATGCTTACCGTTAATGCTTGGCTAAACTCTAAACCCTAAACCCTAAACCCTAAACCCTAAACCCTAAACCCTAAACCCTATTATTACTATGATTTCGGCTGCTTGCTCAGAGGGCATTGGATCTTGGAAGCCTTATGAGGAATTTTAGGAGCTCCATGGGCTGCGAGTCAAATTCCGGCAGCGGGGATCCCTAAACATTAGAGTTTAGGGTTTAGAGTTTAGGGTTTAGGGTTTAGGGTTTACTGTTTAGGGTTTGCCTATAGTCTCCATTGTAGTTCCTTTTTTGGTTTAACCTATTATATATTAAGGAATTTATAAGGTATCCTCAAAAAGGAATTACAGTGGAGACTACGGGTATATAGTGGTACCTAGGGGTCCATGTCCCCCAAATAGTATATAGTCTTGCCTTACAGTAGTCCCTAGATAGGTACTTTGGGGCCCCAGCATGGAGTATTCATTTGGGTACACGGACCCTTCGGGGGATTAACACCGCGACGACGACAACCACGACAGCGGTTTAAGAGACAGGAGTGGCTGATTCAACACCACGGCGAACAGTAGGCCTGTGTGTTTTAGATTGCAATAATGAATCTGTGGAACGTCGCTGCATTGATCCTGGAAACATCGGGTCGTGGACTACGGGTGCCTCACGACCATACTTCCCCAAATTCTCTGCACCCGTTTAACGTTTGAACTCCAGGCTGTGTGCCACATCCTTGAGGAACAGCGACAGTGATCAAACTTTCGCGAACATCTGAGCTATACAGCACAATGCTGACAGGGAATGTGAGACCGTCGCGAGATAGGGGTTACTAGAGACATCTAGAGACCCACTAGTTCCTCATTCTGAGTCCATCGGCACGGGTTTAGGGTGCCTTGCGAACCCTTGACCTTGAAAGAGCTACCGTTATAGGAGCCTTATAGACGGTCCATATACCTTATGGTAGCCTTATAGAAGCCCTATACACCCTAAACTCCCCACCTGTAGTTTCCTTTAACTGTTCCCTAAACCCTAAACCCTAAACCCTAAACCCTAAACCCTAAACCCTAAACCCTAAACCCTGAACCCTAAACCCTAAACCCGAAACCCCACAGGTCTTTCAATGCAAGGTGCTTTGCGAGAAATACAAGGACCTCGGAGGGCCTGGCTTGCATCCAATACAGGGTCCTTAAGACCCAAACCCCAACCCCTTAGGGTTTAGGGTTTAGGGTTTAGGGTTTAGGGTTTAGGGTTTAGGGTTTAGGGACACCCTAGTTGGAATTTGCTGATACTCCATATGGGTAGTTCTGTAAATTAGTAGGATCCCTTTGAGGGTCCTTTTTATGGGGGTGTCGTCTAGATTTTGGGACCTAAACAGCGACGCTAATTTAGCGAACTACCCATATTATGTACTATGATGAGATCTGTGTCTCCAAGTTGCCTAAAGCCTACAACAGGATACCCAGAGCTTCGAGCCGCAAGATCGGACTGATCTCTTCAATCGAAACCCGCCTCCAAAATCCCAGTAGTTACCCTAACGGTCCAAGTACGTAATAACCATATATTCTCCCAAATAACCTACAAAACTACTGTCCGTAAA